GGAATGAAATATATACTAGGCTTGCCATCTACTCAATAGATATCTGAGTATTCATTGTGAATCATATGGTAATGATGCCGCAGTGCCCTAATGGAGCTTAGGGCAGAATACACTAGCAGTTCAAAACTGGCTCTACTACAGTTTGAATGTGTCCCCCAAAGCTCATGTGTTAGAACTTGACTCCCCAATGCCATTGTGTTGGGAGGTGGGGCCTGAAGGGAAGTGTTAAGTCATGAAGACTCCACCCTCAAGAATGAATAATGCTGACCATAAAAGGGCTTGAGGCTGTGAGTTCAATATCTTGTTCTCTCCTGCCCATGTGATGTCTTCCACTACATCAGAACACAGCAGGAACTGTTTGTTCATAATGATTTCAAGGCTGATAGTTTCTGTTAGCACCAGATCAGGGCCCAGTGTGTACATTTTTTTTGACACCAGGTAATGTTAGTTTTCTGGCTGATACAGAGTGGGTAAGCAAATATTGGGCAGATGGCATGTTGAGATGTAGCTCCTGGATCTTGGATATCCCAACTTCCAGAACCATGAACCAAAGAGATTTCTATCAGTTATAAATTGCTCAGTCTATGGTATTCTGTTATAATAGCACAGAATGGACTGCGACATGCTCCCAAGGGACTTTGGCGATACTTTGAGACATTTTTGGTTGTTACAATTAGGGCTAGGAGTACTACTGGCATCTACTGGATATAGGCTAGGGATGCTGCTAAAAGTTCTGTGATGCATGCAAGACAGTTTCCACAACAGAGAATGGTCCAGTCCAAATGTCAATAGTGGCCTGTCTACATTGAAACTTGGGTAAATAAAGCCCAATGTAGACTTCACTATGTATGTCAACTCTAACTCAGGACCTTTCTTTATGAAGTTGACTGTAAACCCCAAGTCACAGTAACCACCTTTGGTCTCAAACACTACTGGAAAATTGGCTTTCCTATTACTTTCCAGGTATTAACTATAATACATTTTACTCTCTTGTAAAAGGAGAAGGCTTCTTTTTATTTTTTAAGAAGAAATGAAAATCTGAGAAACAAAGCCATCCTGTTCTCTACTATAGAACAGAGGTCAGATCACCTCTCCTCTCAGGGGCAGTTTCTTCTGCTCAGATGAGAAGCTTGGAGATTCTGGGAGAAAGGCTATCCACCAAGAAAACACAAAATCTTCTCCAAGAGAACTGTATTTGAAATGCAGACCTTAAGCAATATGGGTAGGACAGGTACTGTCACAGGATGGCCCTCACTATCATCCAGATAGCAAGGTCTGTGTTGGGGACACTTGATGAAAGGTATTTCCTAAGAAGAGGAGGGATTCCTGGGACCTCGAACTCTAGGGCTTTTGTACACGTCAGGTGTGTAGGAAACATGTTTCATACTGAATGTGACCCCAAGCCCAAGAATGAGTGAGCTTTGGGGTAGATAAGTGGGCAGAAAGATCCAGCATGGAAAAAAGGGTCCAAGGCTTCCCAATAGTAGAGAGTTGGCCCTTTTTTTCTCCTGTTTCAACATGTAGTGAGAAAGCAACAATCAGCTCAGACCAAGAGAGTAATAATGTGCCCATCATTCATCAGGCAGGGGTAAGAGACCAATGCTGCTGCAGAACAGGCAACAGTCTCTCCCAAGCATGTGCTACAGGTATAAAGTGTAACAACCCTCATTTTTGAGCAACTATTGTTTTCTTATTCCCTCAAGAAAATTTTTCCCCTAAAACCACAGACTATCAGAAAGCTGCTTTTAAAAACTGTTTCAGTAAGAATGAAACATTCCAATTTTGCTTTAAGGAACTAAGTGACTTTGACCCAAAGAAGCAACCTGTCTACCACCACAAGTGCAGAGCCTTAGTATAAGGGTTTCTGGATACAGCATTGCACCTCAAGCTTCACTCCATAACTGCTGAAGAAATAGGACCTGGGTCCATCTTCCAGTCTAGAGGGATGCTGACTATGTTGCCACAGAGCCCTGTTTTGTTTGTACCTATAAAAACACAGCTTCATTTACATTTCACTAAATTCACTAAAATTTTTTTTTTCTTTGTACTAAGGGTCTCCTCCAAGGTGTACTCTCAGTACTTTAAACAAGTTTTTTTTTTTTTTTTTTTAAAGATAGGATCTCACTAAGTTGTCAAAGCTAAACTGGAACTTGCAATCGTTCTGCTTCAGCCTCCTGAGTCACTGGGATTATAGGCATACACCACCACACTGGCTTTTTTTCTCTTTTGTTTAATGTGATAGACACTGGCCCTCTGTTGTGCAGTCTCCTTCATTGCAATGAGCCAATCAACTTCACTTTGACTATATCAGACTACAGGCTAGTTCCTGGTAGACTGAGGCTAATTGGGTGAAAGCAGTGGCAAGAAAGAGTAAAGGGTCTGTCAGTCCCAAGGAACACTGATAATCTCTGCTAACTACTCAGAAGATGGGTCTTAATAAACATATGTATCCTTTTCCTACTGGTGACTACATGGTTAGGAAAGGGGCCCATGGCTATTAGCTTTTAAAAGACCCTGTGTTCAATTCAAAGCCCAGTAAGTCCTAAGTCATTCATAACTTTCCATTTGCTCAACCACCATTTATTATATGCCCACTGAGCCCCTGGCACTTT